GTGGTGGGTCTGATGCTCAGATTTATAATCTGTAAGTAATTTAACATCATATTTAATAAACTGGATGTAAATCTGAGCTACATTTCCACCACATGGTGACCAACCTTCATGTTCATTTAAACTTCATTTATCTGAAAAATCACAGAGTTTAACAGAGCAGAGAGTCAGAGCCGGACCGGAACCGGACTGGGACCAGACTGGGACCAGTTAATGCCAGCAGCAGCAGGGCGGTTCGGGTTTATACTGCAGAATCTCCTCTGATCTCAGGAATCAGAACCAGAAGTTTATCTTCAGACATGAAAACATTTCTACAGAAAGTTTCAGATCAAATAAACCAGTGGAGCCCAAAGTGGGTCCTGCATGTTTAATTCTCTCCTTGCTGGCAGTACCATCCTCAGCAGGTCAATGTTCTCCTTCATCCATCATCTGGTCCAGGTGAGTTAAACCAGGGAGAATAAAACCTGCAGGATCCTCAGGGACCCACTTTGGGCTCCCCTGAAATAAACTGATCTGGAATCAGTGACGTTATTAACAATAACAGATAATTCAGTGTTTCAATAATCAGATTTAAAACATTTGGACTGAACTGATTTTCATCATCATCTCTGAGGTCAGAAGGTTTCATTTCCTGATGGTTTCATGTTTTCAGCTCCTGCAGATCCAGATCCTCCTCCTCCTTCTCCTCTTCACTCCATCCTGTGGAAAATCCTCTACGCTCCGGTTTCCATCTTTTATTTCATCCCCAGCTGCATCTGCATCTATAAACTCAGAGCCACAGGTAACCACAGCGCCCCCTGCTGGCTGTCTGCAGGAACAAACCGGCTGTAAAACCTCCTGTCTGTAAACCGTCTGCAGGCTGGAGCCCAGCGGGCCGGACCAGAACCTCTGGACCCAGACGAGCCGCAGAAGAAGAAGAAGCAGCAGGTGGAGGCGACTACGACGACGCCATGAATCCTGTGACCACTGAGCATCGCTTCTGAGTCTCGGTTTAACCTCCGACCTCTAAATGTTTCCCTGCTGGTGTCATTTGTTTCTCTATTATCTGTATAAAGAATAAAATACAAGCTTTTTATTTTTTAAATTAGTTTTTTAACGGTTCAGGAAGGAAACTGAGGTCAAAACCTTTCTGAAGTTTGACGTCCTAGAAATGTTTATTAATAAATGCTTAAAGTTAAATTTCATCATGAAACTTTGAAACTAAATGATGAAAAACGTTTTTATTTTGTGGAGTTAAAGGGATAAAAACAGGGCAGCAGGTGAAGCTGCTACATTTAGCATTAGCTAGCAGTGTCTGTTAGCTAATGCTAATGCTAACAGGCCCTGCAGACATTTACAGAAAACTTTTAACTGATATAACTTTTCATTTTGTGCCTTTTTGTTTTATGCATGTTTATTAGTTTGCATGTTTTTATCTGTTAAAGATTTTTTATGAATAAAATATATTTATTCCCAAACGCAGCTTTTTTATTTTGATGGAAAGTCCGACTGCTGATTGGTTAAAACAACCTGCCAGTATTAAACATTAATTAATTAGAATATAAAACATGTCAAATTAAAAGGACATTTTGAAATTAATATTTAAGCAGGTAATAAATGCTTTTTATTAAACATTTGTTTTTTTAATAGTTTTTATTAGTCTGCTTTAAAACTCTTTACATTTTTGTTTAGCTGTTAGAATCTAATTCACGTGGTGAAGAAGTTAATGAAATCATTTCATTCATTCATATCTAATGACTGAATGATTGTAGCTCCTCAGATCTGATCTTCTCTCCGAGTCCAACTGAAAACCTTCATCGTTACTTTAGTTCACCTGAAAGATGCTTTTATTGGACAAGACTTTTAAAAGGTCTAATATGACATCATCAGATCTGCCGCTCATCAGTCAGGAGAATGAAAACAACAAAAAATAAAATTATTTTAAGATCCAACAACATTTTTGATCAGAGACGTTTTCATCGCCTCGTTTTACAATTTTCCTTCTTCAGGTTTGATTTCTGCCAAACAGGATGACCGGTCATCCTGCTGTCCGTCCTTTAGGCCACGCCCCCAGGAGAAGCTCCTCCCACAGCTGTTGGCTCTGCTGGTTCTGGTTTCACCAAGAGACCACTGGGTCCAGCTGGTACCGCCTCGGTCCACAGCAGGAGAACCAGCGACGGGAACATCACCTGATGGCTGTTTGACAATGTGGCTCACGTTCAGGCTCCTCGGTTTCGGGCTCCTCGGTTTCGGGCTCCTCGGGTCTGGACGGCTCTTCAGGCCATTGATCCACCTCTGGGTGAACCTGTGATTCCCCAGGTCACCAGCGGTTCTGAACGCGGCTCTTACAAAGGTTTCCCACACTGATCACATCCGAAGGGTCTCTCTCCGTTGTGAGAACCCCAGTGGAGATGAAGAGAAGGTTTATGGTGAACAGCTTCCCACAGGTTTCACAGGAGAAGGGTTTCTCTCCAGTGTGGATCCTCCGGTGAAGTTTTAAAGAATTCATCACCTGGAACGTGGAGCCACATTCCTCACAGCTGTATGGTCTCTCCTTGCTGTGAACCATCTGATGAGCCTTTAAACGGGCTGATAACCTGAAGTCACAGATCTGACAGCAGAGATCCTTCTGTCCTTCTGTTTCTGCTTCTGTTGGACAGAAACAACATGATTAGGACGATCAGAGGAGGAGGAGACCTCGACACGCTGATGTCCTCAGAGTGACCTGAAGCTGAAGGAAGAAACCTTCTGAATATCAGATCTACTAGAAACATTTTATCTCTGCATGAAGAAACATCAGCAAACTCCTGGAGCTCCAGGCTCCTTCTGATTGGAGGATCAGCTTCTCCTGGAGACGTGTGGACACCTGGACAGGAGTCAGGAGACCCAACCGACCACCTGATGACCTCCAGACTTTGATCATTTGCAGCTGAACTCTGGTTGTGTTGCAGATTTCAGTCCCTCCAGTTTTTCATGATCACATAAATTCATGCAAAACCAGCAGATCACTGCATTTATTCACACTAATGGATCATTGTGATTGATTGGAAATTTTCCGCAGAAATGATCAATAACGTTGGGTTGAAGTGATGCTGATTCCAACCTGCAGGTGGCAGCATTTCTTCTTTCCACCACTCTGCTGCCTCAGCCTGACCTGGGGCCTCATGCGCGGATCCTCCAGGGACGAGGGGATGTTTTACTTTCTGTTCCCTGAAATAATCACTGATCAGTTCATAATCGATACTGTGAACCTTACAGGCCTCCGTACTTCCTGCTTCAATACAAGGTTATAAAGTTTTTACATGAATGTTAATATGATTCATGGAAAAACATTTTATATCTTTTTCTTTAGTACAGAAAGGCGCCACAAACCTACGATATAAACAGAAACTTTCCATAAGAAGGAAAGAAATAAAAATACATTCAGACTATTTGAGTTATAACCGTATGTAAATATTTAGAAGTTTAATGAGAAAAAAATCACAAAATTTACTGCAAATATTGGAAAGTATCACCATAAATCACAAATAAATCCTAAAATCCAGATATTTAAACCTGTGGCAGCAGCAGATTGACTCTATGGACGTTTTATTATCTTTATAAACAGTTTGTTCTAACTTCAGGGTTCTTATCGGACTCGGACCGACCAGAACCGGTTCCTCCACCTGGTGTCTCAGTTTCACATCCTGCAGATCAGCAGCTGCTCTCTGGGTTTAGGTGGATCTAATCAGGCTCATCCTGCTGCTGCTGAGATAACAAATACCCAGAATGCTTCACTTCACTCAGGTTTATCAGCTCAGATGAAAACAACATTTAGACACAAATGATCTGAAGAAAACTTCTAGATTTTTATTATCTACAGAAGGAAAAGTTTCATTAGTGCAGAATCATCATTTAATTTATACTTTTATGTTTGCAACAAAAGAAAAACATAAATAAACCATGAAATATTTTTAAAAGTACAAAGTTTCCTTCCTCTAATGAAGCAACTCAGTTTATTGAAAAAAATCAGAAAAGAAAAATAAATGAATTATTTCCCCTACAAACCAGAAACCTGGAGGAACCGACCTGCAGCAGAGAGGAGACCTGGTTCTGGTCCTGGTCCTGGTTCTGGTTCTGGCTCTCCTCTCAAACAGGAAGGGGCGGGACGAACCACACGGCATTTCCTTATTTGGAAATGGGATCATTCCACTCCGGAAGTGAAGGGGGCGCTATTTCCTATATTATCCTCAGTCTCCCGTTTTTATTTTCTTTTGAAATCTGTCATATATCTTCATCTTTAGGAAGGATTTTCGCTCTCAGCGTGTTTTTGAACTTCTCTCTTTTATTTACTTCAGTTTTTACCAAAGTCTGTATCGTTCTGTGAACTTCTAAATCTGCTCCTTAGTTCCATATTTTTGGGTCGACCTTTCCCTAAACATGCTGCTGGCACTGAAACACCAATGGAGCCATTTTTAAAAAAATGCTTCCGGTTCAAGACGGCAGCTGAATGCAACTCCAACTAAACTCCAACCCTGCCAGCATGCTTAGGTGGGCCCCATGTGGACAAAAGGAGGGCAGACCATATGGGTTTGTCCACGGGTTCCACAATGGCCCCACATGGGTTTGTCCATATAGGGCCCATGTGGGCCAAATCCGCTATGTGGGTCATTTAAGAACTGATTTCCAAACCAAACTGTCACATGACACATTGTGACATGACTACTTCTGTAACGGCCCCGTATTTGGCAACGACAGATCTGGCCCAGGTGTGGCCTTCCATCAATGGCCCAGGTGTGGCTTTTCATCACTGGCCCACATGTGGCCTGTCATCACTGGCTCTGTTGTGCCATGACTGGCCCAAGTGTGGCCTGCCATCATTGGCCCAGATGTGCCATCATTGGCAAAGGGGTGGCCTGTCATCACCGACCCTCCCGTGCCATCACTGGCCCAGGTGTGGCTTTTCATCACTGGCCCACCTGTGGCCTGCCATGACTGGCAAAGGTGTTGCCTGCCATCACTGGCCCACGTGTGGCCTGCCATCACTGGCCCACATGTGGCCTGTCATCACTGGCCCTGTTGTGCCATCATTGGCCCAGGTGTGGCTTTTCATCACTGGCCCAGGTGTGGCCTGCCATCATTGGCCCTGTTGTGCCATCACTGGCCCAGGTGCAGCCTGCCATCATTGGCCCAGGTGTGGCCTGCCATCATTGGCCCAGATGTGCATTATTGGCCCAGGTGTGGCTTGTGTTGAGAATGAGAATCTCAATTGATGAATCATAATTTGTATTGACACACGGAGCATAAAATCAGCCAAGAAAAGCATTCAGACTTT